TTTAAAAAGCATAAAATAAATCGAACCCGCCTGTTTAACGCTACCCCAAATGTTTTTGTACTGTTTATTTTTTCTTTTTTTTTTCAGTGATTTGTGGTCAACGGCTGCACCGATCAACGTGAAATTTGTCAGGAATGTAGATGTATTCGACCTACACTGCGCCAGCCAACAATCTTATGATTGACCCCATATTTGAGGAGGGGGCTCCACCGGAAAAAGGGGGTTTCTGGACATACAAAAACGCTTGTAACTCAAAAGTTATTCAACATAGAAGATTCAGGTTTTTCTTTTTTTTAGTTCTGATGAAGGGCAATCCATCAGGCCCACCAATGCGCCCCCCCCCCCCATTCAAAAGTGTGGGGGTCATATATGCTACTGTTATGCTGCATCTAGTTTCGTACGTACTTCAGGATGTTTCAGCCTTTGCAGTGTACCCTCTYTAGTGGGGAAGCGTTATTTGGGGACGCACACTTGCTGGTGCATTTGTTGCTGCCCGCTTAGATATGGTAAATACTATAAAGCTCAACTTAAATCTGCTCAAACGTTAMGTGCACAATGATTAGTGTCACCCAGTGTTCGCCAGAACAGATCTCTTTACCTGTGGAATGGCACAGAAGTTGAAGACGCTTTGGTTGCGCAGCCGAGACAGGTAGGCGATGACGTCAGGAACGTGGTGGAGAGCATCAGTGACCAGCAGGTTGAGACAAGACAGAGCCGACTCCAGCTTCTCTGGGTGAGCCAAATCCTCCAGACGACTGGCRAACTGGCTCCAAGCCTGCACAGACACACCGCAAACTCAGTTTTTAATCCTAGTTTCTGCAGAAATCGAAAGAAAGCGTTTTTTTGTTTTGTTTTTCACGTGACAAGTTCACCTCTTGTGGCCAGAAGCTACGACCCTCCTGTGTGTCTTCCAGATARTCTCGGATGATGTTGGTCTTCTGGAGGAACAGACCCATGGAGTTTGCCAGCTCCGTGTCTTGTCCCACTTCGGGGTCCTCCAGCTGGGAGGCGGAGAACAGCTTCGACAGACCGATTCCGACCAGACCGGCRACGTAGTGGCAGTACTGCACCAGAAAAACCCAGCATTGTGGCATCCCACAAGGAACAAAACACTGATTAAACATTTACAAGACATTGGCGGAGTCATGCTTAATCTGTGTGCGAAACTTGTAGGAGAACTTCTAGTGTGTCAAAACTGAGATAAGCAGAAAACACCTGTGGAAACAGATAAGACAAGCCGACATGGATGCCTGTGGCTTTCACCACTCAAAACAGTCCCTGCTRTTTTCAGTAAATATTTAGCAGAGTGTTTTCTAAGATGTTGCCTTATATTTGGGTCTGTGTAAATGGTAAATTGGGGAACAGCCTGAACTTGTACAGCACTTTACACACCCACATTCACCCATTCACACACACATTCACATGCTGATGGTGTGAAGCTACATCATAGCCAGAGCTGCCCCGTGTACTCTTTGATAATTCAATTTTCAATTTAAAAACAGATAATGAAAAACAAAAAATTGGATAATTATTTTCTTTTCTTTTTATACTCCAAAAACAAGAAAAGTGTCTCTACTTAAAAAAAAAAAAAACTATATAACTCCACCTTAAATTGTCTGATAACAGGATAAACATGTTTTA